TAATTCTAATAGTACCTATATTTGTATTGAATATTGATGCAGTTTAATATACTTATATGGACTAAAATAAAGATATAAGATATAACCATTCGAAATGCGAATGTGACCTAAAAATAAAGCAACTTGAAAATTTCAAGGACAAAATAATTTTCCTTTATTGATTTTTCAGAACTTAACAAATAAACTACCTACCAATACTGATAAATTTAGTTAAAAATATTACTGTTTAAAAAAAGTTGAAACCTCAGTATAATAGGTAATTAATCAACGAAAAACATTTCTGAGAATAAATGTATGAGGAGTATTCATATTTATAGTTATTTTACCACTTGGGAAATTGTAAATTTTAAACCCAAACAATATAATAATAATACTTGCACGTTCATATGTCATATCATTGACTTCGTAWATAATAAATATAAATCACAGTCAATAAAATATAATAGGTCCAGACGTGTCCTTAGAATTTGTAATTTTGATTGATAAGCACTTATTTAATAACACTCCGTTTTCCCCTGCAATGTATAGTATTTTGTCTACAAATGCCTATAATGATATCCGGACAATTCTTTAAAATCGACTATATCGATTAAACGTTGAGTAGGTCACGGCACCAATTAATTTTCAATCTATTAGGTAGATAAAATCGAACACCAGTAGTCAATTAGGTTTAAAATTTAAATCGAATGATTTTTTGAATATTCCCAGAATAAAAATCGTACGAATAATTGTTGAGTTATATTAATCTGTATTTAACAAATAATGATATAGATGTTCTTAGTACGTAACAGTGGTATTTGTTGTCTCCGTCTTACCAGTGCATAATATAGCAAATTTACGCTCAGCAGAACACTTGTAGCTCCTTTAAAAATTACAGTGAATTGACCTATTATGAAAGTGTACCTATAGTAAGTATATTATCTGTGTTTGTACGTTGGTTTTTTACGATAATTCAATTTTTAAGTGAGTTATGAGCATATAATATACAGGACATTAAAAATGCTCATAACTCACTTAAAAATTGAATTATCGTAAAAACCCAACGTACAGACACTATAATTTTTAAACTAAAGGAGCTACAAGAAGTGTTCTGCTGAGCGTAAATTTGCTATATTACGCACTGGTACCTAAGACGGAGACAACAAATTCCACTGTTACGTACTCTTAATGATAATCGTCATGGTAATTTGAAAATTATAGTGATTCATATTTATCTAAAATATAAATAATTTGAATAAAAGTTCCTTTTAGTATTCTTACTTCTTAGTTAAAAAATAACTGAGGAACTACTTGTTCGATTTTTGAATTCGTTTCAAAAAATTAACCATCCAGAAAGAGGGGGCRAAGCCACGAAGGTGATTCTCATTTGAAAAATAGTTTGTATCGGACACTCCTAAAGTCCATAAAAAAGTTTAMGAATTTGAAATAATGGTTTTTAAATAATACATTAAAAATTCTAAAAATAGGAATTTGAATAAATACAATATTATTTGAGTAAAAATGGGGGTTATTGTGCTTGGTGAATGGTCATGTTATTATAAAAATTAATTAATACAACGAATTCTCTAAAAGTGATCAATTTCTTCTATTCGCCCCCGTGTACATATTCATAGTAGTCCCACGCTTAACCAGTGTTCGCTATAGTCAGGGCATCTTCAGAAATCAATTATTTTATTATGTAGTCATATTTATCACAACAAAAATGATGTAAACTATTCCCAACCCATCTAAATCTCACTTAGTCTCGTTTAATCTGGATTTTGATAATCCAGATAGAGTTCGGTACTTCGGTCCAACCACATCATCCGGATCAACCAGACTCTAYACTTTATATTATATAAATTATATTTAAAGCTTAATACAAAATAATCTAAGTACTRCAGTTGATACTTTAGAAAGGTTACATTATTTATTATTGAAATATTTCACACGTACCTACATAAACATAACAACATTGTACATGAAAGGGAAAACGTGAAGATAATCATTAATAATAAACTATGCGAACAAAACGATTCCTTGTTGACTGGTTGTAGTTTCCTACTGTGAGGGATCGACGTGGATTGTGTAAAAATGGTTGGTCCGGTGAATTGACAAAACAAGTCTAGATGTGAGTACGTACTCACACACATATGTATAAAATAGGTTAGGTATTTGCCATACATAATGCGTGTAATATGATGTATTAATAATAAATTCTGCGGTGTGCAAGCATAAAATTCAAGTACTCGTGTATATATGTGTATTTCGCCTGAATTCGACAGAAGGGACTCTTTGGCACAATAATTGATGAATGGCCGAAATACCGTCTTAGGTGGCTTCAAGTTTGTGACAATCCGTACAACCCATTTGTAAAAACTACGTCGAAAAAGAATAATAAAAAAAGACTGAATCGCGTCGACACCATATACCCAGAAATCTGGTTTTGACCTGCAACAGCAGCAGAAATGCAGCATAATATAATCGGTCAACTGAGTTTCCA